CTATCTATTTTGGGAGAGAGGTTTTTGTTAGGGCACATTCACTCGCCAGAGAATCAGAGAGGGACTGAGAGACAGAAAGCGAGAAATCAAAATCACCCCCCAGGTCGGATGGCCCTGCTGCAATCCCTTCTCCTCCATTCTCCTCTCAGGATCTTGAGCACGCATGCACACATGCCGGCATTGAGTTCCAAGTCACCAGGTCCAGGACTCGAACTGTGGTTGACTATATGGAAGTCCAGCGACATAACCACTATGCCATCTGCTGGTCCCACAAACTATCTTAATTATATATGCTAAGTATCCCTTTTCTATAATGTTTGGAACCACAAGTGTTTTAAATGTCAGATTTTGGAATATTTTCACATCCATAATGAGATACCATGGGGAGATAAGACTGGAGCCTAAACATGAAATTCACTTATGTTTCTTATATACCTTATACACATAATCCTGAAGGTAATTTTTTTTAAAGGTTTGTCCTATAGGCTGTGAGAGAGAGAGAGAGAAAAGGAGAGGGAAAGTAAGAAATCACCCTCCCTCCCCCATCCCAGGAAATATGGCCACACTACAATCCCTTCTCCTCCATTCTCCTCCTGGGATGTTGGACATGCGCACACAAGCCCAGCATGATTTTCAAGCCACCAGGTCTGGGACTCAAACCATGGGTTGCCAATGTGGGAGTCAGTGCCATAACTACCACACAACCTGCTGGCCCTATACTGGAGGTAAATTTTATACAATTATTTTTTTATTACAGCTTTTTTTCTTAGTTAACTTTTTTTTTTTTTGGCTGATAAGTGTTTTTTATTGATAATTCACGACAAGGTAGGGTTCTCTGAGGCCCTCCTCGTCTCCAGGGATGAAAAGTGTGTCAAGGAGGGGAGCTTCTCAGTGTGGTGGGGACTGAGTGGGAGCAGGGCCTCCCCAGCAACCAAGGGCCTCTCTCTTCCTTATGCTCATGCTGGGGCTGGTGGTCCAAGGTTCTACACCTTGGAAGCCATGTGGATGATGAGGTTCACCACCCCATTACTACAGCCAAATTCATTGTCATACCAGGAAATGAGCTTGACAAAGTGGCCACTGAGGGTGATGCGAGCCCCAGCATTGAAGATGGAGGAGTGGGTGTCACTGCTGAAGTCACAGGAGACAACCTAGTCCTCAGTGTAGCCCAGGATGCCCTTCAGGGGGCCCTGTGAAACCTGCTCCACCACCTTCTTGATGTCATCGTATTTGGCAGCTTTCTCCAGGCAGCAAGTCAGGTCCACAACTGACACATTGGGAGTGGGGACACAGAAGGTCATGTCTGTGAGCTTTCCGTTCAGCCCCGGGATGAGCTTGCCCACAGCCTTGGAAGCACCAGTCAATACTGGGATGATGTTCTAGCCCGCCCCATGGCCATCATGCCACAGCTTTCCTGAGGGGCCGTCCAGAGTCTTCTGGATGGCAGTGATGTCATGGACTGTGGTCATGAGTCCCTCCACAATGTCAAAGTTTTCGTGGATGACCTCAGCCAGGGTGACCAAGCAGTTGGTGCATGAGGCATCGCAGATGATCTTCAGGGAGTTGTAATTCTTGCGGTTCAAGACTATCACAAACATGGGGGCATTAGCAAAAGGGGTAGAGATGATGACCCTTTTGGCCCTGCCCTTCAAATGAGCCTCAGCCTTCTCTAAGGTGGTGAAGACACTGGTGGACTCCACAATGTACTCAGTACCAGCATCACTCCATTTGATGTTGGTGTGATCTTGCTCCTGAAAGATGGTAATGAACTTCCCATTGATGACAAGCTTCCTGTTCTCAGCTTTGACGGTGCTGTTGAACTTGCTATGGGTGAAATCATATTGAAACATGTAGACTATATAGTTCAAGTCAATGAAGGGGTCATTGATGGCAACAACATCCACTTTGCCAGAGTTAAAGGTGGTCCTGGTGACCAGGTGCTCAACACGGCCAAATCCATTTACTCCAACCTTCACCATCGTATCTCTAAGACGCAGCTGGCACTGCACAAGAAAATGTGACTGTGTCGAATGGGGAGGAGCAGAGAGCCTAAATAAACTACCTCTTAAAGTTTATTTCTTCCATGAGTGAGAGAAAGGAAAAAAGAGACAGCACCCTCAATGGGGTCTTGACACCACATCCATGCCCAACCTCAGCCAGCCATGAATCACAGGCAAGCAAATGCCTGGTGTACTCAGGGAGGTCTCTGATGCAAACCAGGAACCTTCTCATGTAGGTCAGCTTTGCAGAGTGTCACATTTTGCCACTACACCACTGTCTGGCTCTCTCCTGTAGTGCTTTGACTGTAACTTGTCACATGGAGATAGATCTGGAATTTTCCACATAAATATAAAACCCTTTCCACGTGGGTCTATCTATGCTACAGCGGTACTACCACCTGGTCCCATAACATCATACTTTTAAAATTTAATCTG